GGAATGCAGCCTAGCCCACATCTTGATTTTAGTGTAGAGAGACGCATTTTAGACTTCTGACTTATAGAACCATAAGATAAGAAATTGTCATTCTAAGCTGCTAAGTTTGCTTTGTGACAGCAGCAATAGGAAAGTAATGTACTGTCCAAGGGCTTCTCAGCATTTAGCAACAATCCAAAATCTTTCACGTGACTACCGGGATGGTAAGCTCTGTGCAGACAGACTGGGCTGTTGTATTCACTTCGGCATCACTTTGCGGCGTCTGACTCAGAGTGGCACTTAGTATTTCTTGAATAAATGAGTGAATAAGAGGGAGGGGGAGGGGAAAGTAAGAAGTAAAGAAGGGTGAAGGAGGAGAGGGAGGAGAAGGAGAAAAGGCATCTTGAAATCTTCATTCCCAACGAAACTCAGCTTTATTAGGACTGGAACCTGGAACAGATGGGAACAGAGGAGCTGGATGTATTCTTTGGGCGTGGAAGGAAAATGAGTTGCTGTCTTTAGTTAGAAAAACCCCAGGCACTCTCAGGAGCCCAAATCCTGTCCTCGTCTCTCTGGCAAGGGTCCCTGGGAGGATTCAGCTCCAAGGCCCCATCAAGACAGGGAGAGGAGAGAGCCCATATCTCTTGTCCGGGAGGTGATAACTGCAGGAGAAATGGGCACAGGGCATTCTGGGAAGCCCTGAGGAGGTGACTTGAGCATCTTGTGACCCCAGTGATGCAGGCCAGAGGGGTGGGCGGAGGCTGTGATCTCCCGATGGAGTCGGGGACGTTGTTCCCTAGAGGAAACTGCTGCTTTACTCACAACACCAAGCAATACTCCAGTTTTCTGTGGACACCAACTGGATGTCCCTACAGTTTAATTCAATTCTGACACTACCTGGAGTTAGGGCACCCTACAGATGAAGAGCTCAGTCTCACGAGTCTGCCCCCTACTTCAGAGGCCAGTTGCAAGTCATGGGTCCCGAGGTTACCAACACTTCTGTCTCACTTGGCTACAAATCAGAGGTTCCCATGACCTCCTCCTGAGGTTTAATAATTTGCTGTAATGGCTCACAGAACTCAGGGAAACACGTTTACCAGTTTACTGTAAAGGATATTATAAAAGATGTAAATAAACAGCCAGATGAAGAGGTACAGGGGGTGAGGTCCAGAAGGATCCCAGGTGCAGGAGCTTCTGTCTCTGTGGAGTTTGGGGTGCACCACTCTCCCAGCACATGGATGTGTTTACCAACTCAGAAGCTCTCCGAACCCCATTGTTTAGGGTTTTTATGGGGGTTCCATTATGTAGGCGTAATTGATTAAATTACTGGGCATTAAAGATTAACTCGATTTCCAGCCTGCCTCCCCTCCTGGAGGTGGGGGGTGGGACTGAAAGTTCCCACCCTCTAATCCCATGCTTGGTTCCTCTGGGAACCAGCCCCCACCCTCTGAGTGTCACTTCATTAGCATAAACTCAGATATGGCTGAAAGGGGCTTGTGAATAACAAAAGATGCTCCTCTCTATTGGGAAATTTCAAGGCTTTTAGGAGCTCTGTGCCAGGAATCTGGGATGAAGGCCAACTACGTAATTCTTATTATATCACAGTATCACAGTCCCTAAACCTGGTCACTGGGCTGGGCCCTGGAGTGAGGGGTTCTAGTTCTTGGCTTCTCACCTGCGCTGGTGCTGCAGGAATTGCCCCAGGACCCTTAGTCTCTGGACGGGACGCAGGCTGGGAACCTCAGGAGGGCTTTGAGAGTGTGGCAGGCCATGGGGTGGGGTGGGGGGACCTTGGCAGATGCCCCCTGGGAGATGTTGGTCTTGGCAGTGGGCCCAGGGAAGGCAGCCCCAGCCTCCCCAGCCATTCTCCTGGGTACCAGAAGGTCCTGAGTGAACCGCTATTCCAGATTTGAGCTCTGGACACTCAGAGTTGGGAGTACCCTCAGGGACACCCAGCCCTCGCTGTGCACACAGGGAAACTGAGTCAGGGTGGAGGGGTAGATAGTTGCCAGAGGTGTGCAATGGGTCCTTAGCAGAAGTCTTGTGGCTGCTGTGCAGGTGCTGAGGGGACCACTGTAGCCCTGGACCTGATGGGTTGACACTTAGTAAATAGTTGTTAAGAGAATGAAGCCTCTCCGGCCCAGCCTCCACACCTCTGACCTCCACCCTGGGAGCTCCTTCTCCCCTCATGCCGTCCCATCTGAGCCCTGTGTCCCTCCTGTCCCTCAGCCCTTGTGACTGTGCTCCCTCTAGCTCAAGTGCCCTGGGACCCCAGGAACGTCAGCTGGCAGTAGCAGCTGGCTGTGCCAGGGCCTAATGTTCCACATTAAGGGAACATCTGTTGGCTGGGGCTCCCCAGGCATGGGCCACACACAGCCACGCTCTGCGGCCATTCCTCGGTCAACACAGGCCACGGCAACCAAAGATGAGCGGTTGGGTCTCTTTCAAGGCCATGATGTCATAACCAGCACATGCTGGCTGCCTGGCCTGCTGTGATGGATGGACAGGGATCATCAATAACAGGCCTGTGGCTGTGAGACCTGGGACCTGGCTCCTCCCTTGTGGCCCCCAGTGTCCTCGCCTTCTTGATTTGTTGTCCTCAGAGCTTCCTATGGTGCTTCCAGCTCCCAAACTTGGTCATTTTGGGAGCAGGATGCTATAGGCCAATGTAACTGGGTGTGAATTCCCAAATAGCCAGGTCTGAGTTCTGAGAGACAAGGTTTTCAGTGCCCTGAAGCCATTGGTGCCTTCTGGTCCAAACAGCACCCACAGGTCAGTCATGGACCCCAGCAAGGAGGCTGTGAACTCATGAGGCCTGGCCCAGGCCCCCTGCAGGCTGCCTCTGTGACCTGTCAGCGGCCTCCCCTGGCCTTCCTTCTCACCTCACGGGGCTCTGGTTCATCTCCCTGCCTGGGCCTCTCTCAGGGGAATGATTCCCAGGGACACCTAATTGAAATAATGAAATTAATTTTCATAACAACAGCAAACATGCTTTGAGTGAGCCCAGCGTTTTTCTGAGGGCTTTACATATATGAACTCATTAATCCTCACGGCAGCCCGTGCGCTGGGACCCTGTGGGTCACCGGCTGGCTGTCTCTTCTCTGGCAGAGTAGCCCTCTCCCAAGGCTGTCTTAACAGACGGCTCAGCAGGACACGGTTCCTCTCCTGAAACTTCCCTCTGCTGTCGCACACTCACTGCTGCCTCCCTCCTACCCCTTTGCCCCTCTCTCTTGATTGCATCACAACATGTACTTCCTCTGCCCTCCCCGTAAATATGGGGGTCCCCGGGGTCCCCTCCTCCACGCTCTTCTCACTTCGTATCCCTTCCTGGGGTAAACTCTCATCCCGTGGCCTCACCCACTCCCCATGGGCGTGAGTTTAAGGAATTGAGGTGACAAGAGCACCGCAAGGTGTTCACTGGGGGTGGTGGGCTGTACGACCCTACCAGACCTTCCTTTTGAAGAGATCATGGTCACAGCTGTGTGGGGTTGAGTGAAGAGGACCCTGGAGAGGCTGTCACCATGGTCCCAGTGCAAGGTAGGTGGCCCTGAACTAGGTAGGGGTGCAGGATGGACAGCAGGGCATGGATTCCACCAGTATTTGGAGGTCACACCAGCAGGACCTGCTGGCCGATTGGATATGAAAGATGGAGGAGACGGAGGCAAAGCAAGGTGACTCCAGGTTTCTAGCTGGGGCTGAGACAGGAACCAGGTTTCAGCAGGAGATGCTGAGTTGAGTCTTGGACATGCTGCGTTTGGACCATCTTTGGCGCTCCAAGGCCGGGATATGCGGCAGGCAGCTGACTGTGGGAGGCAGCCTGCAGGTGGTGCAGGAGGTGGGATTGGAGTTGTCTGTGTGGTTCTGTCCTTAAGTCCAGGAGCCAGGTGATTTCATTCAAGGTGAGTGGGGCAAGGGGCCAGCACCTGCCTTCAGTCAGGGTGCGGCCCGGTCAGTAAGGGCGAAGAGAGAGTTCGCTGGGGGCCCAGGAGAGAGGCATTTCAGTGGAGAGGAAGGGCAGAATTAGAGAAAGGAGTGAAGCATGAAGGGGAGGTGAGGAGGTGGCCACGAGGGATGGAGAGAACTCCATGGAGAGGCTGGCAGGGGCCGCCAGGAGAGAGTGCATGGCAGGCAGAGGGGTGAGAGGGTGCACTGAGCCCTCAGATCTGAAAACCTGGTCGTCAGGCTTGACATCTTCCTCCTCCTCACGGCTCTCATGCACTGTCACCAGTCTTGGTACTTCCTAAATACTTCTCACTTTGTCCTTGCTCCCTCTCTGTCCTTTGGCATTCACCTGATCAGGGCCTGTGACTCCTCACAATGTGGCCACCAAAGTGGTCCTTGCCTCCTGTCTCTTTGTGCTCCGGGTCCTTTCACAGTTCAGGGCCTCGGCTGCACAGGCCTCTGCCTGGATGGCTTTCCCCTTTTCCCTATCTGGCCAGTGTGTGCTCCTCCTTCAAGTCCTAGCTCCATACCATCCCCAGAGGCGGGTGTGGCTGTGGAGCTGCTCCCTCAGGCTAGCCGGTTCCTGCTATTCCTCCACCTAGGGAGAGAGAGGGCCCATAGAGGAGGACCACAGAGAAGCTGGACCGCACAGGGATGGCGGAGCCTAAGGATGCAGAGGAGTTGCTGCAGGGTGATGTGGGGGAGGGCCACAGAGACTCCCAGCATCTCATTCTTAGGAGTCCTGCCCTGGGCTGCGGCTGGGCCTGCTTCTTCCTTCCCCACAATCCTGCCTGGACCATAGGGCTGTGGGCTGATGTAAAATCAGATGAGGGCTCCCTCCTCACCCTAGAAGCTCCTGAAATGTCTTCTCTTTGAGGATCTTCCCAAGACAAGGCTGAGTCCTGCCTCAAACAGTAGGCCTCACCTTCTCTCCCCTTAAACGCCTCCCTCCTCCTGCAAGGGCATGGCTCTTGAGCGTGTGATGGGCATGCTCACGGATGTGTGTATGCATACGGCGGTGCCTGCAGGTGAGTGTGTGAGGGCTGTGCCCCCTCTCAGCAGGGTTCTCTTCTGCGCAGGCTGCCCCGGGATGTGGGACAACATCACCTGTTGGAAGCCTGCCCACGTGGGTGAGATGGTCTTCGTCAGCTGCCCTGCTGAACTCTTCCGAATCTTCAATCCAGACCAAGGTGGGTTTCCCCTGGGGCCTCTTCAGGCCATCCTTGGTCCCTCCTTCTCCCCTCACTCGGGCCCCAGGCCTTCCTGGGGACCGGCACCAAGGACACGGGGCGCCCTGCAGGCAGATGTTCCCCACTTCAGAGCTGCTTGGGTGGGACCTTGGTTCAAGGAGGGTGGAGGGCAGGGCTCCTGAGGGGGTCAGAGGGGTCTAAGTCACATGTGTGGCCATGCACAGGTCCCTTGCCAACTGGGCCTCAGCTTCCTCCTGCACTTGCCTAAGGCTTCAGCTGATGTCTTTCTAGAAGTAGAGAGTTTCCACGCTCTATGCTCCGCTCCGCTGTGGAGTCCTGCCTGCTGCCCTCCTCTGTCCTGTCTGTGAGGGGTGGAAGGCAAATTCTCTTTCACACCTGGAACTCCACCAGCCTTGGCTCTGCCTGGAGGGGAAGGTGATGCAGGAGGTGGCAGAGGGAGATGGTGGGTGTCTGTTGGGGTGCCAGGCCCCTGTCTCTGGCCCCCATGCCAAGACCAGAGAAAGCAGGGTTTAGCTATGATGTACCCCACCTCGCCTCCCCTCTTCCCCTTCTGGGGCCTCTTAACCACACCTCCCACCTCCAGACCTCCTGCTGGCCGGGACTTGGGGATTGAGTGGGACCCAGAGCAGGACAGGAAGTGAATTTTGAAAGAGGAGACCTACGAGGGAAGTCCTGAAGTGAGAGGCACAGTGTGAATGGTGGGATGTCAGGCTCAGTGGCAGCCTGGTGACTCAGCCCAATCTCTCATTCACTTCCATAGAAGCCAATTTAATCACTTCCTCCATTCACATTCTCCTTCCATTCAGTCATTCATTTAGCGTTTATTGAACATCTACTCTGGGTCAGTACCGTGGCAAGACAGCTTCTTTTCAATAACAAAAAAAGGCAAAATGAATCAGCAGTAAAATAAGATTTTCTTAAGATGAACTTGCCTTCAGCCTCTCTCCCTCCTCTGGCAGTTGCACAATGAGCATGTTATTTACACCTGGTTCTTAATGGCTCATTAAGGCAGGGCTTTTTAGCAGCTCTGTTCGCAAAGCTGGATTAGTGAGACTTGCCTTACTTAGAAAGCTGAGAACGGCATTTGTCCTTTCATTTCTTGGCCCCCTGGCTGAAGCTGGTGTTCACTGTGACAGTGGATGCTTTGAGGGTTATTGGAGATACAGGAGCACTGATCTCTCCTCCTCTTAGGTGCCGCTGCTCCTTCTGTTTAACTGTGTCCTGTTCTGGGAGGTAGAAGCCTTCACTGTCTGGCCAGTCCCCAGCTTGCAATCCTCATGCCTCTGGGCCCCTAGTGGAGCCTTTGCAGAGTTGGGGAGTGGGGAGGGGAGGGGAGGGCATTGTCAGCGGGGCCCCTGAGTGCAGACCCCCTTCAGCTCCCTGGCTCACCCCTGCATTCTCTCTCTCTTTGTCTGTTTCAGTCTGGGAGACGGAAACCATTGGTAAGAGGAACCTTGGAGAACACAGGCTGCTCCTCATCTGACCCTCCAGGGGCATCCATGCTCTGACTCTGGGAACGGGTGGGAGTAGAATGAGAGGGACCAGGTTCTTCCCTCTCCCCCCCACCCCCCTCTTGGTTCTCCCAGAGATAGGGAGGACACAGGAAGATGGAAGACACAGCCCTTGGCCTCAGGGTGCTCATGGGCTTGTTTGAGAGGACAAGACTCACCCATGGAGGGTTGGAAAACAAGCCCACCCATGGGCATAGGCTCATGCGTGTACAGACCTGCAGGCCTGAATGTGTGTGTGAGCCTGCACAGACACTGACATCCCCAGTGGCCATGAAGTTGGGATCTACAGCAAGCTCAGAAGCAGAGGAGACCTAACTATGCATAATGCAGGCAGAATAATGAAGAGGTCAGGGGAGGCTTCCTGGAGGCAGTGGCATGTCAGTTAGACCTTGGAAATAGGATTTTGAGAAGTAGAGAGGAAGTGGCAGTTCATTGCTAGCAGGGGATTGGGCATAAGAAAAGGGTAGAGGTGAGAATAAAGTCAGGAGAGAAAGAAAGATGTCTGAGGATGAAGTCTTTGGAGTTCTGGTTTCCCTTTGATGAGAGCAGTTTCGGGGCTGAGGTGGAGGGTTGAGCACCAAAGAGGAAACACAAGCCCGGAACCCATGTTGCTGTTCCTTGCCCCCCCTTTTTTTTTTTCCATAAGGAAGATTGTCCCTGAGCTAACATCTGTTGCCAGTCTTCCTCTTTTTACTTGAGGAGGATTGTTGCTGAGCTAACATCTGTGCCAGTCTTCCTTTATTTTGTATATGGGACACTGCCACAGCATGGCTTGATGAGCAGTGCGTAGGTCCACGCCTGGGATCCGAACCTGCAAACCCCGGGCTGCTGAAGCGGAGCGCACTAACTTGACCACTAAGCCACCAGGCCGCCCCCTCCTTCCCCTTTTCTTGAAAAGGCCCCGTCATCCTTTTCCATTCCTCTCCCACTCCCGAGGCCCTCCCATCGTCCTTTCAATGTCCCCTTTCCACTTCCGGTGGTCTAACGAGGAGAACTGAGTCATGGGCTGTCCTTAGCATCACAGGAATTCAAGGGAGATTGGCGCCAGAAGGGGCGGTGTGTCAGAAAGGTGTGCGGCTCCTGTGTGTGATGCTGCCTCTTGGCCGGGACCCCAGCGCCTCTTTCAGAGCAGGGGCCACCTTGGCCTTGCATGGTGGAGAGTAAGCCGTGGACGGGTGCAAGCCGATGCCCGAGCGTTCTGACTCATGCCCACGTCTGTGTTTTGCAGGCGACTTTGATTTCACTGACACTAACTCCTTGGATCTCTCAGGTAAGGGGATAAGTTGAGGTTGGCCATGGGCGGGCTGGAGGGAGGGCATTGGCTGAAGTGTGAGCCTGGAGACCCCCCCTTTCCAGGATGGGCTATGCCTCTCTGTGGCTGTGTGATCTCTGGCAAGTTGCTTTCCTTCTCTGATACAGCTGCAGATTTTCTCCATAGAAAGTTTTACTCAAGGGCACAGACAGAACATTGTGCGTGCAATTTCAGGGGAGCACAGATCTCTAAGCCCCATTGTGGAGCCCAAGTAAAGAACTGGATTAGATGGCCGTGATAGATTTGAACTTCTGTGTTGTAGTGCAGTGGTTCTCAGACTTTGTGATCACTCACCCAGGGGGCTTCTTAAAACTTGGATTTCTGGGCCCCACTGCTAGAGCCTCTGATTTAGTAGGATTGGGGAGGGGCCTGAGAGTGTGCATTTCTAGCCAGTCTCCCAGGTGATGCTGATGGGCTGGTCTGGGGGCAGGCGCCCACTTTGAGAACCGCTACCCTAAGATTCTGTGCTCCTAGGAAATCACTGGGGCAAAAACAGCCGAGTGAAGTGGGCGCAGTCACTGCGGGGTTTTGACAATCTGAAGAGCCCTCATCTTCCGGAGATTTGTATGTGCACAATAGAGTGGCAAATTCATGGAATAGTTCTGAACAAAAAGGTTTATATTTCTCTGAGCCCACACTGTATTAGAAAAAGAAAAAGAAAAGGAAGGAAAATAAAAGAAAGGAAATGGCTTCTACCTCTAGAACAGTTTAAAATGTTTTTTAAAGCAGCCTCCCTTCCCTCTTTTCACCACCCTGATGTGGGTAAAGCCGAGAGGAGATGAGGCCTGGGGAGGGAAGAGGCTTGTCCAAGGCCACGATCCCCTAGGACGTGCAGACTTGCTGACAGAAGTGTTCAGAGGCACTTGGAAGGAAGTTGCCAGTAGCAGCCTGAGATGGGTTTGCTGGAAGAAGGAACGGTTTGGCTTCAAACTGTGGGGCACAAGTAACTCCTTCTCTCCCTGGGCCTTCCAGAGGTCCTCCTTGTCCTGTGTCATAGAACTCAGAATCCGAGAAGTGATGGAGACCCATGTCCTGGCTCTGGGCAGAGCTCTCTTCATAGCAGGGTCACCCCCTCTGCAGCTTCCAAAGCCCCAGGAAGAGGTTTCTGACTCTCTTGGCTAAAAAGAACTGGTCTTATGTCTTCCAACTCAACTGGCAAGGATGTGAGGTTGGAAAAGTAGAGGGGTCTCCTGTCTTGGCCTCTGCCTTTGCCTCCTTCCTGAGCTCCCCAGAGGTGGCCTGGTCACAGAGTGGGGATTCTTCTAGCGACATGGGTACTGGAGCCCCATTTGTGCAGATGCCTCTTGTCCACAATTTCCTGGCCCCTGAATTCTGTGAAAGGAAGAAGCATCCCCATGTGTGCTAAGACACCAGGTAAATTCCCAGGAAGCCGGTTTTGGAGCAGAGGGCAGTCTGAGGCCACACTCAGATGCTGGCCTGGAGGTGGAGCGGGCTTCTTGCCTTCTTCCTATGCCTGGACATCCCAGTTCACCCTTACAGACAATCAGGAGAGGGGAGGATGAAACGAGCAATCTTTAAACGCTAAAGCAGCCCCAGGTGTGGTGCGGACTCCGTTCTGCAGCCAGCAAATGACTCCCACCCCCTCCAGTGCCCCACAAAATGGCCTTTAAAGTTGATCAAAAGAAAATTAAAGTACATTAGTGACAGGAAGCAGCACTTGAAACCTGGAAAGGCAAAAGTTATTTTAAAGAAACCTAAATGTATATCTTAATAAGATCTGGTGCTAGGTTCATGGAGATCTGGTCCTTGCTAGTTAAGCAAGCCATGTGTCCCCTTGGTGCCGGATATTACAGCTGCTGGGGGCCCCGGAGCTCCCAGTGAGAGCATCACACAGAGCTGAGCTTCTCCAGGTGTGATGGGAACTCCTGCCCCACAGTCACCTGAGGTGATTCCTGGACCAGAATCCCTGAGTGGGTGGGCCCTGCGGGAATCTGCATTGTGACCCCAGGTCATCGTTCTACTCGCTGAAGTTTGACAACTGCTAACCTCGGGCCTGGGCTTGGGGCGGGGGCCTTTCTCTGGCGAGCGTTTGTCAGCTCCAGGAGGAAGGAGGCTGGATCCAGCCCGGCTCACCCCTCACCCCTTGTCAAGGGGTCAGCCTGTGCCTTGTCCCCCACCCCCACTGTGTCGTTTGTAAAGACTGAGCTGGAGGTCACCAACAGTCACTCTTTTCCCTCAGACAGTGAAGGACTTCATGAACCCTTGGTTGCCATGCTTCCCAGTTGGGCATATGGGTTTTCAGGAATTCCTACTTAGGAAGTAATTTTTGAGTACAGATTTCAGAGTCCTCTTAAATCATTTCTGTGCCTCACCGAGTTCTCCTTCTGCTGCAGACACGAGGGTCGTGAGCCGGAACTGCACGGAGGATGGGTGGTCGGAGCCCTTCCCTCATTATTTTGATGCCTGTGGGTTTGATGAATATGAATCTGAGGCTGGGGACCAGGTGAGTGTCTGCCCCCCACCTGAAGGTGGTCAGGGTGGGCCTGAGGAGGTGGGTGGAAGGGTGTTCCCATCAGGGGCCTTGACTCCTGATGGGACTACGGGACACTCAGGTCTCTAGGCAGCATTCATGAGTACCTGCTGTATGCCCACACCAGATACACGGAGAGCAAGACTTTCGTTGACTCATTCTGGGCTGAGAAGCAGGGGTTTGCTTCTTGAGCTCCTCCATCCCCCACCAGTGTCCCCAGCTTCCCTGGCTGCTCTTGTAGGACACCTAGCCTTCCTATGGCCTAGCACCTGAAGGGTGAATGCTGGGCTCAGCGGGGCCCTCCTGGACCCTTCTCCAGGCCAAGGCTGGTGACTGCTCTGATTGGTCTGTGCTCCTGCCTTTAATAAGCATTCACTGAGCATCTGCAGAGCGGGACACTGTGCAGAGGGGAGTACTCAGTGGGGGATGGGGAGGTTGGCGGGTCGGAGTGGTGGAGGCACTGATGGGGGAGTGGAGGAGGGGAGGTCCGTAAGAGGAGAAGAGAAGGAGGAGCTGGGTGTTGGGCCCAGAGGTGGGCAGGCCCTGGCCTGGGACGCTTTCAAGGGGGGCTGCCCCAGCCCCCATATGGAGCCCTGCATGTCTGCGCCCTGCTCTAGGATTATTACTACCTGTCGGTGAAGGCCTTGTACACAGTTGGCTACAGCACGTCCCTCGTCACCCTCACCACCGCCATGGTCATCCTGTGTCGCTTCCGGTGAGACCCCCATCAGTGTCCAAGTGAGCGCAGCCCATCCCAGCTCAGAGCCCTTGCTCCCTCCCTCCCACCCCAACGCCTTCCCCTGGGTGCCAGCCCAGGAGCTCCCTTAGAAGGCATTTCCCCCACTCGTAGGGTAACAAATGGGAAACTTGACCCCAGAGAGGGCACCTGGCTTGTCCGGGGCCATATTATAGCAAGGCAGAGACCTGTATTCCTCACTTTTATCTTCCTGGTTGAGATAGAGAGAGGTCACAGGAGGGAAAAGTCTGGCCACGTGCATGGTGGGGCCAGGCAACAGGGGCCTGGAAGGGAGTGAGGATTTAGAGAGGTGGGAAGAAGGGAGTGATCTAGGTGGGGGACCTCTGTGAGACAGAGGCGTGGGGTCGGCCCCAAGCAGAGCCTGGAGTGGAGGGCTGGAGTGCCGTGGGGTTCGTGGCTTCAAGGCCTCTTCCTGCGCTGGCCCCCTGGTGTAGGAAGCTGCACTGCACCCGCAACTTCATCCACATGAACCTGTTCGTGTCGTTCATGCTGAGGGCCATCTCCGTCTTCATCAAAGACTGGATCCTCTACGCGGAGCAGGACAGCAACCATTGCTTCATCTCCACCGTGAGTGAGCCGAGCCCTGCCAGCTTTCGCGCGCCCTGCGACGCCCCGCTGTCCGCGTGTTTTCCTGCAGGTTAACGCGTTGTCCCCAGGGAACACACAAATCCAGGAGTGACCATGAGGTTGCTGGTAGCCAGTGAGACACCCCCGTCCCTTGACCAGTGTGTGTACTTGGCAGAGCAGATGAGGAAGGTCAGGTGGCAGTGCCAAGTCCACTTAACTGCGGGGGAAACTAGGCTCAGAGAGAGGGCCTGCCTGGCCCCTCATCATTTAACTTGCCCGGGACAGAGCCGAGGGGCCGATTGGCTGGCGTTCTTTCTAGACCACCCCCCAATCCTCATACTTTTGGAGGTAAGTAGAGAAGATAGGCACTGATGGGGTAAGATGGAAAGAGCAGGCAGTCCAGAGCACAGGGCCTTGATCTGGGAGCGCACACTTAGCGGGGTCTCTATGAGATTCTGGGGGGCCACAGGTATCCTCCACCCTTGTGATGTGTAAAACCCTCATTTTACCGAGGATCCTCCAGTGGGGACTTAGCTTGCCTGTGGGGGCTGGGGAAGGGGCAGTAAAGTGGGGGAGGATGAGCTTGGGGAGGGGGGGCTCTATGCTCACACCCCCACCCTTTCCTTTTCTGACGGGTGCAGAGTTGCCTCCACCGGTGGCTTCAACGTGGAACCCTAGGATGCTGCAATTTTAAACTCTTCAAATCCACGAATGCTGAGTCTTTCAGACCCTTGGGGTGTTGGAGCCTGAGCACGCTGGAGCTCAAGGGAACCTCAGGACTCTCCCTGGTCCTGCTGGGCTGGATTTTCAGGGCTCGGTGGGGGGCCAGGGAGGGGAGGGGGGCTCACGTTCCCGCCCTCACGGCTCTCCCTACAGGTGGAATGCAAGGCTGTCATGGTTTTCTTCCACTACTGCGTCGTGTCCAACTACTTCTGGCTGTTCATCGAGGGCCTGTACCTCTTCACCCTGCTGGTGGAGACCTTCTTCCCCGAGAGGCGATACTTCTACTGGTACACCATTATTGGCTGGGGTAGGTGACCGGCTGTGGCCAGGACAGGCTCAGGCCTCATGGCCAGGTGTGTCCTGGGTTCTGCTGTCAGGGAGTGTCAGGTGAGAGGAGGGAGGTGCTCTGCTGGCCCAGCTGGCGGCACGCTCTGTTTCTTGGACCCTTTCTTGCTCTTCCTGCTCATAGGAAGCCCACCGACTGAGACAGGACATGCTTAGGAGTCCTTCTGAGAGGGGAGATAGCCCGGGTCTGGGGGAGATGTGGACCCCCAGGAGGCCTGGGTGTGAGAAGCACTTAGGGTCTGAGAGGGAGACATGCCCCGTGGCTCAGAACCTCCACATCTGAGGGGGAATGATGGCCCCTGGGAGGCCCAGTTTTGAGGGGGACCCTGGGCCTGTTGGCTTTCCTGTTATCAGAGTGCTCTTTTCCTTGCTCTTAGGAACCCCGACCGTGTGTGTGTCGGTGTGGGCTGTGCTCAGGCTCTACTTTGATGACACCGGGTGAGTACATGCCCGAGGGCCGGGGCCGAAGCCCCAGGTAGGTTCCCACAGATGAGTTCTCAGTGGCTGCCCTGACTTCATGTTAGCTGCTCCAGACACACCATCCAACGCCGGGCCCAGCCTGCACCCCCAACCCTGGGCACCACTGCAGGTGGACCCACATAGCCACCTCTCAGCCGGAACCCAGCGAGAGAATGTGCACGAGTTTGGAGCCCTGCTCTGCTCCAGTGTCTGTTTTCCTTTTAGGGAGGGGAGGAAGAATGTTGAGGGTGAGGCGGCACCCCCAAGAGCCCTAGGTCTGAAGGGGAAATGTGGTCCTTGCCCAGGAGCCCATTGGCAACCTTTACGCTTGGGTTCCAACCCCTGCCTTGAAGGGGAGCAAGGCATTTGAAGAACCAGGCTGGGTTCAGGTCTGCAGCCTGCCCAGGAGCTCTCCTCCCAGCCAGCCCTCCTCAGGGAGCTGCAGGGGAAGAAAGCACCACCCACAGAGCCAGGGGAGTGTCCTGCAGGCATCCCCGGCCCCGGCACATAATCTCTGTTCTTTCTCTGTCTTTCAGCTGCTGGGACATGAATGACAACACAGCTCTGTGGTGGGTGATCAAAGGCCCTGTGGTTGGCTCCATAATGGTGAGTGTCCTTGGGACAAGGAGTGGGGAAGAGACAGGGGTCTGGGCAGAAAGGCATGACAGGAGGGGAGATAAAGAGGTCACCACACACGCCCAACCTCCTTCTTTTTCATGGCTGCATTATATTCTGCAACATGGATGTACACATCATTTAGCTATCTCAATATTATTGGACATTTACATTATTCCATTTTTCCTCATTACAAAAGACGCTCCTAGGAACAATTCTGTGCATAATTTTGAGGCCATGTGAATATTTCTTTAGACTAAATCCCTTAAAGTGGAATTTCTGGGTCAAAATGGGTACCCCGTATCATTGTCTGAATTTATAATATCAGTCATTTAAACTTTTGCACAGTCTTGTGGGGGATAATGGCAGCTCAGTGTCTTACTGTGCATTTCTCTGTATTGGTAGTGCTGCAGAGGATTTTTTTCCCAAATGTTTATTGACAATTTGTTTTTATTCTGGTTATTACCCATTTATTTCTTTAGCTCATTTTTCTAGCCCAGTTGTCATCTTTCTTACTCTTTGAAAGATAGTTAACACTGTATCTGGAATACATATTGTAAGTGTTTTTCCAAGACAGTGTAACTCTTACATAGTCAAACCATTGGGCTTTCTCTTTACTAATTTAGAGCCTTGTTTTCTGTTCATAGAGGCCTTTCCCAACCTGAGATCTAAAAATATTCTTCTTACTTGTTTTATAACGTTTTTGTGGATTGGGATATTACATGCACATCTTTAATCCAGCTGAAATTTTATTTCTTTGTCTGATATGAAATGATACTTAATTTTGTCTAATTTAATTTTTTTCAGTGGAGAGACATTCCACCCTCTGAGGTTTTTTTTATTGAATAGATCATATTTTCTCCATTATGTTGAAATGTTGTTTTATCATAAACGCTCAATGTCATCTTCTTGTGTTTGGCGCCAGACTTTCTATTTTATGTTACTAATCTATTGGCTGTTCCCATGGCGAACTCCCCATTGTGCTAGTTACTGTAACCTGGTAGCATGTTTTGATAGCTGGTATGCTAATTTCCTCTTCTTTATTCTTTTTTTTTGTCAAAATTTTCTTGCACATTTACTTTTTCAGGTGGATTTTCAAATACCCTTGTCAAGTTGCAAAAAAGTCTGGTTGAGATTTTTATAGGAATTGCATTGGATTTATAAACTAATTTGGAAGATAATTTTCTTAAAACATTGAGTCTTCTTCTCCAAGAACATGGCATGATTCTCCATTTATTCAGTCTTTCTCAGTGTGTCATCTTGCGCAGCTTTTCAGTTGTCCTGTTGAATTTACCTCTGAGGTGTTTTTTGGTCTGTGCTTTTATTGTGTCTGGAATCATTCTTTCATTTATTTTCTAGTGGGTTATGACTGGTGCAGAGGGAAGCTATTAGTTTTTATTTATTTTTTCTTTTCTTGGTTACCTTTCTAAACTCTCTTATTAGTTCTCATCCCTTTTCACTTGTTTCTTGTGGATTTTCTAGGTAGAAAATTACACAGTCTATGAATGAAAATAGTTTATACTCTTCCTTTCCAGTATTTATACCATTTATTCCTTGGTTTTGTTAGGATGATGTTTGCTATAGATTTGGGACATTCCCCTTCAGTGACTTAGGAAAGTTCCTCTTCCTGGCTTGTTTCAGTGTGTATTTTTTTAAAGTCAGGAATAGGTGTCGAATTTTGTCAAATGTGTTTTGGAGACATTTCTTGAAGCGATTGTTCCCTTAGTAATGGACGATTATAGTATTCCAGTTTTTCTTCGTTATGAACAATGCTTCAGTGGATGTGTTTGTGCCTGCCTTTGAGCATGTGTGAATATGTCTTGAGAATAAATCTCTGGGAGTGGAATTTCTGGGACAAAGCATGTGTACATTTAACATTTTCATGGATATCAAATTGCCCTCCATGAGCAGCCTACAGGAGTGCTCCTATCTTGTGTCTTTGCTGATTTGTTTTTAAATTTCATCTTTGTTTTGATTACTGAACTATTCGCCAGTCTTATGCGGGATAATGGTAGCTTATTGTTTTAATCTATTAATGTAACGAGTATTAGTTGATTTTTTTTTGCATTCCTGGCGTAATCTTTATGGCCATAATCTGTTCATTTTTTTATTACACTGCTAAATTCTATTTGTTAATATTTTATTTATATTTTTTGCATTGCTCTGTGTAAGTTCTCTGGTTTTAGGTGTGTGCCTGTGTGTGTGTGTGTGTGTGTGTGTGTGTGTGTGTGTGTGGCTGTGTGTGCTTTCTGTCCTTATCTGGGTTTTGTAGCAGGATTTTGTTAGCCTCATAGGGAATTTGGGAGCCTTTCTTTTTATTTGCTTTTAAACAACTAAGTACAGTCATGTGCTGTATAATGACGTTTCAGTCAACGGCGCATCATGTATATGACGGTAGTCCCGTAAGATTAGTAGTGTATAGCCTAGGGGTGTAGTAGGCCATGACATCTAGGTTTGTGTGAGTGCGTTCTGTGATGTTCCCGCAATAGTGAAATCGCCTAATGACACATTTCTCCGAACATAGCCCTGCTGTTAAGCGATGCGTGAATGCAGTAAGTAAATTACATTTCCCTTAAAGTGTTATAAAACTGGTCTATAAAATTATCTGGCCCTGGTGCCTTTTATTGCACATATCTTTGACTACTTTTTGAATTTATTCTGGGGTCATTGCTTTACTCAGATATTCTACATCTTTTCAGATTTGATTTTGTTAATTTATATTTTCCCATTTTGTTTGATTTTCTCCGTTGACTTAAAATATTGTATATATCTGTTGTCTTGTCCTCTGTCTCATCCCTAAATTTGCTTACTTGCATTTTCTCCTTTTGGGCGGACTAACACATGCACTTAGCACTGTTTCCTGTGCTAAGTTCCAGGTACCGGTTAAACAATGGGCAGGTAATAGAGGACACGACCACTGGGCCCCTGCCTTCGGGGGCACACTGCATCACTTTCATTGATCTGTGAAAACAAACAACTAAACGAAACCAAAATTGAAATTTATTTTTATTGATCAAGTCTACTTTTTTCCCTGTTTCTTTATAATGAATTTTTATCTCTATTAATTTCCTTCTCATATAAGTCAAATTTGTGGTGCTCTTTCCGTGGCTTTCGATTTGAGTTCTTAGCTATGTTGTTTTCAGTATTTATTATTTTTAATAAGTTAGTGTTAGGCTCTACATTTCTTTCCCCGGGCACTGCCTCCTCTCCGTCGGGAAGATGTTCCTGTGTGGTCCTCTCGTTGTGCCTCGTTTCTGTGTATCTGCTCCCCTCCCGCCTCCTTTCTCACCATACGCACAGCTTCCCACTTGGCTTAGAGAGCTTTTGTCCCTGATCTTCCTCTGAGGGTAAATGCTACTCTTGCTGTTCCCAGCTGTCCTGTAATTAATAATGCTCATGGTTGTCCTTTCCGGTTCTCCACATTCAGTGCCTCTGAACTTGGAGTTTCTCCAGAGGACAGCTCTCACCTCTGCGGTAGCCTCTTCTCTGTTTGGCATTATAGCTTTTCCATCATCCTGATCCTGTTTGCCCTTTCTCTTCCAGAAATTACTCACTTTTCTGGCTCGCTTGTAACTCTCTATCCTGTTTCTCAATACTCCTATGGAATTCTTTCTCTTCTATTTCTCTTGTCATTTCAATGATATCATAGGAGGCTGGGAGATAACGAGTGTTCCCATGCTGCCATCTTGGATTATAAGTCTAGATGGATCTTGACTGGAGGGGGGAAGGCCCTGTTGGGGGAATAACAGCCTAGGCAGAGGCAGGGGTATGGAAAGTCTTTGCCCAGAATCGTTTCCATCCACTATTTCTTTGTTCCTCAGGTTAACTTTGTGCTCTTCATCGGCATCATCGTCATCCTTGTGCAGAAACTTCAGTCTCCAGACATGGGAGGCAATGAGTCCAGCATCTACTTGTAAGTACCACTGTGTGAATGCCACAGTCACTCCTAACAGCTATGTGGGCCCTGCACTCAGGTCACGGGCAGGAGAAGGCCTGGACTTTGCTCATAGAGTCACCTAGCGTGGGCATTTGCAAGATTTCCTTCTGATTAAAGTGCCTTTAAAATATAGTTGCCCTCCCATCCTTCAGCCAACCCAGGAGTTCCTAATTCGCATGCTGATTACGTCACAGGGAAAAGAGAGAGGAAGAGACTGGCAGATCCCTTGTCACACTAGGAAAATCAAGATGGAAAACGCCAGATCTCCTAGGGTGGTTTAGAAGTTGGATTTCCCTTGGGGGTCTTAGTTCCATGGGAAGCTTGTGATCCCCACCCTCAGCCCAGCGTGTACAGGTTGCTCAGCCCCCACTAGCGAGTGAGGTGGACGTTCTTGCCAGTCTGGGTGTTGGAAGTGAGGATTCTTTTCCTTCCTCACCTCCCCTCAGGGCAGCTCTGCTTCTGAATCTGGTCCTCCTTGTGCAACTCCCTCCTCCCTGAGCAGAGGACCGTCTGATATGGTTGGGGTTGATGGGTTTGTGGGCAACCTCTTACCATTGAGTGTAGGGTTTTGTCCACTTCTGTAGCCATTTGGTTTGTTTCCTATGAGAGTTTTTGCAGTCACATCCCTAACAGCTCACCCCTGCTTGCTCTGTCCCAGCCCTCTCCCAGCCCTTGATCCATTCTGAGTCAGACCAAGTAGCTTGCACTTCACCCTTCTTACCTCGTGATCAGGAGCATGACCAGCTGGATGTGTAGGATGTGGGGACACTTCTGATGCTGAGGAGGAAGGTTGGTCCCCTCTGGTTGGCTGGAGGGGTAAGATGAGCATGGAGAATCTGAGGACAGTCTCTGGGGTCCATCCGTGGGCAAGGTAGAACCCATATGTGTTGCTTCCTCAGGTTGAGAAGAGAGCAGGTTAGAAGGAGCTGAGGTGTTCTCATGGCCTCAGTGGGTGCTTGGTCCTGCCTTCATCAGAGACCCCAGTCTGGGGCTCAGAACCTTGATTGTCTGCCCAGTGGACAAGTGGCTCAGCAGAGACCCCAGCAGAGGGTTCCCTCTATCCAGCCATTCTCCTGGAGACAGGCAGAGGCAGGAACTGCTCAGAGACCAGTCCCAGATCCTTCCCTCAGGCTCCTTGGGGCTTCCCCAGGGAACAGAGCTTGCCCCTGGTCTGTCTGTCCAGCCTGGGCCCCTGCCTTGTGGAACACCTTCCCCAGGGGTGGGGGGTCGGCCCAGGGCCTGGCATGGTCAGCCTTGTCTTCCCTGCATGTAGGATGATGTCATTACATTGGAAAAGACCCCCCTATCCCCTCCCTTTTTCCTGTCCATTTATTGTCTTTTTTTCCCCATGTTCTTGCAAGTTTTTACCAACTTCTGTTTACATGTATGTTATGTTATGTAGTCGAAAGTTGTTCATCCATGTGAGTCATAGTCTCTGAGGCCCTGCACTGGGGGGCCAGTGGGGCCCATTCTCTGCAACCAACTAACTGCCCTAGAGACATCATCCCTGCCTTCGTCTCAAGGACTCACAAAACAGGGCACTGCTGCTCCCCTCACTGTCCTGTCCAGGGTCAGGAACTGTGTCCCTGTGTCTGGCCCCAGTTTCTCCTGCTAGGGAGTGGATTGGCTCCTCCACTCTCAGTTGCCTGGGATTTCTGAGTGGTGGGTACCTAAGTCTGCCTCATCTCTCCTTGGAGCTCTAGCAGCCTGGGTCCCGCCCCCTGCTTCCTGCTGGATCTGTTTCTTCTCCTGGCTTCTCTGGGGGTGCTCTCCCGGCTTCCCCTCACTCTGCATGTGCAGGGATGCACACAGGGGCTCAGAGCAGCCTAAATAAGGACACGCTACTAACTGCTGAACACGCTTTACCAGCCCAAACATCTTACCCCAGGCAGCAAGGACCGCCCCCTGCCCCAACCCTGGGTCTGGTGGGAGGGAAGTGTGGGGCCAGGGTTTTCAAGTTATCCCTTGAACCCTGAGAGCTGTAGGGTCTTGTCAGGCCTTCCTCATAAATAGATAAGAACCATTTGTAATTAGTACATGGTTTATACACTTAAGTACAAACATTGAAAGAACCAGCTAGTTGGTTTGCTTTTACTGTGTAAAAAATCCCCCTGTAATATCAGCAAATCCTTTTTTGTTAGAGAAAGCTAAAGCCATGCTAGTCTCAAGCCGCAAAGATTAAAAGTTCAGATGGATGTGGTCTGCCAGCCAGGTGGGAGGGCTGACGCAGGACAAGGAATCCGCTTGATCCCATTAAATTCAGCAACGTGTTTGAGTGTTTCTGGGGTCAAGGAGACCCTGTTGGCAGACGTGAGGGATAGATAGTCCAAGTGACAATGCTGCTAAGAACTGCAGAGCTTTGAGAAACATTTGCACCTCAGTCCCTGAACAGTGGATGCTCAGACACCCAGCGAATCTGTGGGATAGGTAACCGACTGTTAAATATAATCCCCATTTCACAGCTGAGGGAGCTAGTTATCAGGGAAGTGAAATGAATCCAGTAGGAGAGAGTGAAGCCATCGCTGCAGGCAGGCAGGCCCTTGACTCCAAGCTCCACTACACCATCATTCCCGTCTGCAAGGAACTTGCAGGGAGAAGATGGTGTTAAACAAGTACATAAACAAGGCTTCCTGGAAGACGAGGCCCCAGTGGGTTCTAGCCTTGTGTAAAACGGCCCCACGGGGAATGCTCTGAGCTGGGAGGGGTCTGCTATGGGGGAGGGGAGCCTGTGGGGGGATTGGAAAGGGCAGGGTGTGGTGGGAGAGGGGGATTCCAGAGCTGTGCCCAAGTACCCTTGGGCCACCAGAGTTATGTGTTAGGCTGAGAAGCCCCTTCAGATCTGCCCACAACAGCTTTCTGGTTTTTTCCTCTGTTTCCAGAACAAATTTAAGACTGGGAGTCCCCAAGAAAGCCCAAGAGGACCCCCTGCCTGTGCCCTCAGACCATCATTCACTCCCTTTCCTGTAGGTTGGTTCCAGCTGCTCAGATGCTAAGGGTTTGTCCTCCGTAGTCGGCGCCCCTGACCCAGCCTCAGAAGGGCCTGGTGGGGGCTGGGCCCCTGCAGGGGGCAGTGGCGCTGAGCCACCCACGCCCTCTCACCTGGTGCTTCTGGTAGAATGAGTGGCTGGGGTCTTGAGCAGTGGCCAGGCATGGAATGTGGGCCTGGGTCAGGGCTCCACGTTGCTCTGGCTCGACTTGTCTGGGCCAGGGGTTAGGGCTCAGCTCGATTCTGGGGTCAGGGTTAACCTGCCTTTTCCTGGGTCCAGAGTTTTCCTCCTTGAGAAGCCAGCTGGCTCAGAAAGGGGAGGGTGAGTTTTCCGGGCTGACGCTGTGTTGGCAGCATCCCAGGCCTGGCCCTGCCGGGAGCTGGCTTTATTCCCAGTGGGCTCCTCACTGCAAGGTGGGCATCGGAAGCTGCGATTTGGGTCTGGGGTCGGGGAGGAAAACCCAATCTTTGTCGCCCTCAGGGATGCCACAGAGCAGGTCTCCACAGCCCCTCAGGGTAAAGGAAGGAGAAGAGAACAGACACTGTGGTGCCCTAGGTACCTCAGCAGGGCTGTGACGTGCCCAGTATCAGAAGGACAATGTTCACCTCCAAAGACAGGCTCTTCCGTGGCTAGGCAGAGAAGCAGCCAGGAACCTTTCAGTCCTGGGACTCAGCCACAGCCTAAGGCTTCCAGTTCACATGGGGCTCCATCTTCCACTTCCAGAACACCTGCTTCCCTGTCTAGGAGTGCCCCATCCTCACAACTCCCGTTAGGGATGGGCAGCAGGGAATGGGTACCATGGTTTTGCAGATGGAGAAACTGAGGCCCAGAGAAGGAAACGATGCCACCTAAGATCACCCAGCAAGTCAGTGGCTAAAAAAGCCTTGCACCCAGGTGCCCCGACCCTCCAGGCTGGGCAGGTGGCAGAGGGCTTGCTCATCCTCAGTGGCGGGAAAGGAGGGGGTGGGCAGAGAAGCTCCAAGATATGCTGAGCTGGGCTTCTGGCTAGGGTACCAGTGTGGTGTGGAGCGCTTCCCTGGGGACTGGGCTAGGGTCTGGGGATGCACAGCATCTTAGCATCAGAGGGACCCTATGGAGAATGTGCAGCTCAGTCCGCAATGTTCTTTGGGCCTGCTGTGTGTCCAAGGCTATGCTGCTCACTAGGGATCGGGGGAAATAGGGCTGCTACCACAAGGGCCCCCCACAGGGGTCTGTGTCTGGCATCCTGTCAGGTGTCAAGCCTTGGCAGAACCAAGCCTGGGAGCCAGGGCTCCCTGACTTCCGGGTGCTGTCATGGGCCCTGCACCTGCTGTGGGTGTCTCCAGTCTTCTGATGCAGGCTGACACTGCTCTCCAAGCAGCCCCTACCCAACACCCTTGGCGGAATTTCTTATTATCTCTTCCTCTTGATTGAATTCCTTTTCCCCTTTTCACTAATTGTGGTGACTTTTCAGAGATGCCGACATGGCTTTCTTTCTCATGCTTGTCTCTGGCTTTTCTACCTGCCTCTTGCTGTGTTCCTTTTGCACAGAATCATTGAATGTTTGGGGGTAGGGGGGCCCTCCCAGGCACTGGGTGCCCTGTTTCTTGTCTGCCCCCACCCCGCCCCCCGCCTCATCAGAGGCACACATCTTTACCAGGAGCCTGATTTTCTAGCTAACTTGCCACTAAATGGCCTTTAACATACTTTGAAAGAAATGGGAGGAGTCTGTATTGACTGTCTCCAGGGCCCAGGACACGCAGGGACAATTTGGGAGTTCAAGGAGGAGAGGTCCCAGAGAACAGCTGAAGCTTTAGAATTTGGGATGAGGAATTAAGCCTGGCATATCCGAGGCGACATCTGATGTTCAAGCTCTTGGGCTCCTGGACCCTGATTTCTGTGGTTTAATCAAGTCAAGAATGAGGAATTAGGCCGTTGGCTGTAGGGAAAGTAGCCAGCCTTTCAATCTGGGCAAGGGAGAGAAGAAATTTGAAGACTAGAATGGCTTCCATTTCTGAATACCCAATTAAGCTCTTTTCATTACTGAGAAAAACATGCTTATATGTGTCCGTCTGTCTCTTTGTATGTACATGAGACAGACCTTTGACGTTCATTGAGGACACATGAAGAAACTTCTTAAGTATGGGACTTCCTCACAAGTGCTTCTTGAGCTTTGATTTGCATCCAGATCACTTAGGGATCTTGTTAAAATGCAGATTCTGAGCCAGCAGGTCTGGGCTGGCACCTGAGATTCTGCATTTCTAAGAAGCTCTCAGGTGGTGCTGACCCTTGCTGGTCTGGGGACCCGACTATGGGCAGCAGAGCATCATAACTTACCTCACATCCTTCATCTGTAAAGTAGGCCAGTAGCACTCGCCTCACACTGCAGTATGAATTGAAAGATGCTGTTTATTAAATGAGAACCACAAACCTGACTGAGGCACAGATGCTGGGTAGACCTTGACTGGCCCTGTCTTTGAAGTGTGTGATTAAAACGGTAGCTCAGCAAAATGACACATCACCACATGTCAAGGACCTTCAGACTTGCTCTCAAAGGGTTGGGATCACAAATAATGAATCCATGAATGCCCAAGGTCTAGTCTCTTGGTGCGTATCTGTGTATCTGTTCTCCTTTGCATCAGATCCCCCTCAGGTTGATGGGTTCGTTGGCGGGTACCAGGAGCTCAGCGCCACGCAGTGCTGAGGGGGGTTTGTGAAGTAGGCAACTCTTATACAGTCTGATGAGATGACACAGCTCTTAATCCATCTTTTCCATGTTTGTCATGGAAGGAAAAGAAGTGTACAGCTTGTGCCAACCCAAGCATAAGCAGGACCGGGAAGGGCTAGAAGAGATAGAAAGGCAGCCTGAGACCTCTCTGAGGAGATGGAAGCTCTGTGTCCCACCCAGTGGCATGGAGGGCTAGGCTGGCTCCTTGGGCCCACTGTGGATGCCTCCTTCAGATGACCTGTTTCTGCAGGCAGTGGGGCAGTGCCCCATAGGTGCCCCTCTCAGCCTTCAGCCCCTGCCCATTGAACATTCATGAAGCAGTCTAGGCCAGCGCTGTGCAACAGAACTCTCAGCAGGGATGGCAGTGTCCTAGATCTGTGCTGTTCAATATGGGAACCACTAGCTGCATGTGGCTGTTGAGCCCATGCAATGTGGCTAAGGGCAACTGAGGAAGCGGATTTTTAATTTGACTTAATTGTAATCCATATAGCTGCAGGTGGGTAGTGGCTACCATGTTGGAAAGCACAGATCTAGACTAAGTAACAATCTGCTCCGTCCATCCTATCTCTTCTCCCCCTGTGTGTCCACACGGAGGTGCCTAGGAGACAGAGAGGAAGAAACAGACAGGAGAGTGAGAGGTGTAGATGGGGAAGATCAGTGGACTCAAGTCTGTCTTACAGCCAAACCCAGACTGGCCTGATTTCAGGCTTGGTCTGCCCGGGCTAGGCAGCTTGAGGTCCGTGGTGTGAGTTTCCAGCTGCTCATCTCACTGAGTGACCTCCCACCAGGCCATGCTCTGAGCCTGGAGCTGATTCTGGAGACAGCTTCTGGCCTCACCTTCCGACACATGCATTTCCTCGAACCCTGCCACCTGTCAGTGGTCCCAGTGTGAGTGCTCGTGTGTGCATCTGTGTCCAAGCACACACGTGCACACATGTGGGTGTGCAGTTCTATGTCCAGAGTTGACTGCGTCTTGGCCCTTGGCTTCCTCATTCTCCTCCATGTCACTGCCCACCCTGTCTCCACCCTTGGACCCTCTGCCTGCCCCCCTCCCGCGAGCCATTTTGCTCTAAGTCCCACCTCAGTTTCTTCGTTGCCCAACGCCCCCAGCTGACAGAAGTGCTGATCTTGTCACACCCAGCAGCTGCGTGCAGAAATGCTACTGCAAGCCACAGCGGGCTCAGCAGCACTCTTGCAAGATGTCAGAACTGTCCACCATTACTCTGTAAGTGTGCGTGGCGTGGCTGTGGCTGGGCGTCCTGGAGGGGAGGGGGACGCATGCCGTGGCTGCCACCTGGAGCTTGCGTCCACCGGGCTGGAGGAGAGCGGAGAGCAGGCTGTGCCTCCAGCCCCGAGCCCTTTCCCGGCTGTTGCATGTTGAGTCCGGTGTCTTGTGAGTTCTCTGCAACCTTGTGCTCATAGGGCGGGAGGGGAGGTGGCGGGGAGGGAGCTGCGGCCTTGGTGGGAGCAGCTGAGGCTTGGCAGGTGCTGAGGAGTCAGCAGCTCTGAAGCCTGTCCCTTCCCTACATCCCCTTCTTCTCTGGGCTTCGGTCTCTGCAATTGTCAAATTATTTCTAAGAGCCTTAGAGCTTGAGTTTCTGTATGCTGTCTCCCTGCGTGGGACAGGACCCTCACCCCACTGAACCTCACTCACACTTCACGTGCCGTGTGGCTTAATCCCCACAACATCCTGGTGAGGTGGGTACTTGTATTATCCCCATTTTACAGATGAGAAAACTGAAGTACAGAGAGGTGAAGTGACTCACTCAAGGTCACACAATTAGTGGGGTGAGGATTTGAACCCAGGGAGTGCTGTCACTAGCCCCAGGGCATCTCTGACCAGGGCATCTGCCTCAATCTGGACATCCCTTTAAGTGGGGGACTCATTGGGCAGCTCTGACTGTTGGAAGCTCTTCTTGGCATTTTTAGAGCTCTTCTGCCCATTGATACCTCCTCAGGGCAGGGTGACAGAGGCCAAGGCCCTGGGTCATTGTCTCTCTGGGTTAATCAGATCACATGGTGATTTTGTGATTGTCCTCAAAGAGGGCTCTTGAGGCTCATACTGCATGTCCCCCTTCCAAGGCCACTGGTCAGCTCTGAAGGATAGAGGTCCCAGAACTCTGGGCCCTAGTGACCTCCTCATCTGCCCCCACTGCCCTGTCTACCAATGGGGTCACTGGGATGAGCTGGGTCCCTGGCAAAAGTCCTGACTGTTCTAGGCTGTCACAGCATCTCCAGGGGGGGAAGGTGTTGCCCTGGGACTGGACTGTGGGACGCCTCTGCTGCCATTTGTCACATCCATCTGGGGCCCGGAAGGGCCTGAGCCCAAGCCTGAAAGGTTGCTGTCTCACACGCACTGAACTCGTCACGTCCACTGCCACCACGAAAGCTGGAGAGATTTGGCCTTTGGTCTCCAGGGCGCTTTTCAAACTGCAGGGGCGAGTCCCTGGAAACGGGCCATTTGTGGGAGAGGAGGCAAGGCGGGAGGAGGGCCGGGGCCACAGGCGTGTCCCAGGGCCGCCTTCCCTCCTGAGCCCCTCCAGTTAAGCTGCTCTGGCAAGGTAACTGCTTTAGGCAGGGTCACAGAGGGACCCCCCCAAGATGTCCACGTGCCTGCACTTCCAGCCTACTTCCCTCTTCTTTTGGATTTCCATTCTTCAGCCAACACTCCCTGCTGCCCTCTGGGCCAGGCCCTGGGTGCCCGAGATGAGCAGGAACCGAGCTCCCAGGTCATGTTCCATTTTCAGACTCTGAGGCTTTCATACCAGCCCTGCTTGGCCCGTTTATTCTTTCATGGACAGGGATTTTCTGAACGTAAGCGCCGTGCCTGGCACGTGCAGGCCACGGAAGATAGCAGCTCAGTGAGGTACCACGCCTGCCTCCAGGGAGCCATGGTCTGAGAGAGGACAGGCCACTCCAGGACTGCACCTGGGCTCAGAGTGGGGACTGGCTCAGATCCTGTTGGCACCGGCTCTGGTCCAGGGATCCCAGGTTCTGCAGAACGGGCTGCCTGTGAGCAGGATGGAGAAGGGGTGGGCACCCAGCAGTCGAGCGACTTCTTCATTGGTCCACCTGAGTCTTGGTCCACCTAAGGTGTCCCCAGGCTACGCCTGTACCTTCCTCTCTGTCTCCTGGTGCTCTTCTTTCTTCCCCTTCCCCTCCCTCCTTCCTTCCCTCTCAGGAGACTCTGGGAAGCCAAGGGCCTCACTCAGACTCTGGATTTGGCTTCTTTTGAAATCTGGAGCCCCCACATTCAACAGAACATTTTCTCCCAGAAAGACTGGGGTGGGGAAGAGGAGGGGGCACACAGTGTAAATGCCCCAAGTCAAATGGTGCCCCCACTCCCAGCTGTCCACCCGGTGGACCAAGCTTTGCCGGGAGAGGGCGAGGCTGACCCTTCCGCTCATGCCCCCATTCAGAGGGCCCAGGGGGCAGGCTTCACCTGCAGGGCAGGGCTGGCTGTTTGAGGAGACCCAGAAGGGACCATTGTACTGGGGTGGGCAGAGAGGGGGTCCCACTCTTGGAGACCCTCTGGGTGCACCCCTCCCAACAGAGCAGGACCCCCAAGTGCATGCACTGTGCATACTCTTAATGTCTTAGCTGGCTTCTGTGTCCCTGCCCCCTCAGAACAGAGCCCCACCCTACTGGGCCTCGGAGCCAGTTGCAGGCAGAGGAACCCCAGAAGAGCTGGCCTCAGGAGGTGCAGAGGTCCCTTTGGCCCTCTCTCCCCTGCCTGCCCCACCCCCAAGCAGATAGCCTTCTCTCCCTTTGACTCAGTTTCCTGGGTGGCAGGTTCCTCGTGCTTGGGTGGTGATCGTTTATGCCCAGAGTCAGTAAGTCCTTCCTAGGATCCCTCCCAAGTCTCTCTCTCTGTGGCCCACCTACTGTGCCCCCCACCCCGCCTCCCTGTTGTCAGCACCTCCCCACCACTCTCCGTGAGTGTCCTGGGCTAGCCCCAGACTCAGAAGAGCCGACTCTCTCTGTGCCTCTTAGGGGCTACTCTTTTCAGGCACATGGAGCTTCCTTCCAGGGCAGGAGAATATTTACGTTGCTTGAGGACCCCTCACGTCGCTCAAGCCTTCCTAATCCCATCCCTGTGTTTTTCTCTGACTTCGTTTTCCCCAAGGGCTTTGCACCTCCCACGAGGGGTCTCTGTACGTCACATACTCACATGTTCGTGTTCAGTGGTTGTACATGATACTGACGTGGCCTAGAGGGATAGGCACCCTGCATACTGGGGGATGTCCCCCCAGAACCTCCCAGGGAGTTCTGGAAGCCTGGGCTCTGTCGTCCACTGTCTCTCCCAGGTCCCACGCCTCGGGAGAGGGTCCTGAGGGGGTCCATGAACAGGGGCCCCAGCTTAGGGGGAGAGCAGGGGGCTGGGACTGGGGCTCTCTGCCCTCCATGGCTCTGGCATGAAGCCTGGCAGCCCCTGGAGCTGATGTCTTGCTTTCTCCCGACAGACGGCTAGCCCGGTCCACCCTGCTACTCATCCCGCTGTTTGGAATCCACTACACGGTGTTCGCCTTCTCCCCAGAGAATGTCAGCAAGAGGGAGAGACTCGTGTTTGAGCTGGGGCTGGGCTCCTTCCAGGTAGGCCTGGCACGTGCAGAGGGCAAAACTCACAGGGAGCCAGGGCCCTGGCCCCTAACCTGCTGGTGGTTCTAGAAACTTCTTTAACCCAGAGCTGGTCTCCATGATTCTGTCTCTGAAATAAGTGTACTAGAATTGTGGGGCGCTGGGAGAGCCCTTGCTGCCTTCTCCACTCTGGACCCCTGTGAGAAGACACTGATATCTTCCTTTGCTGCGTCCAGTGTCCTGAGCCAGGCCTCCCTTGGGTGCAGCTCCCCATCCCTTACCATCGGCCCTGGGTGAGGGCCGAGTGCCCCCCAAGAGACCTCTGTGTTTACTCCCTGACTTCAGCCTGTAGACCACGTGCCCCGTGAAAGCTGGAGCTCTGTCTTACCCAAGTTGGGGTCCCAACCCAGGACCTGGCCACAGAGAGCTGAATGAGCTGAATGGCTGGATGAGCAAACGGATACATAAATAAGGGATCCAGGCAATGAGAGAGTGGGTGGATGAGTGACTCTGTGCATGAAGGAGTAAGCAGATGGGGTTATAAACGAGTGAGTGAAGGAGCTGGTGAATTGGCACGAGGATGCATGATGAGTAAGTGAAGAGATGGGAGCACCAGTGGGTCAATGAAGGCGGGTGGCTCCCTTGAGTGTCCCCAGGATGGAGCACCTCTCCCTAACCCAACTGTTTAGATGAGTATTTGACCTTGGTGGTCAGAACGTTAACTCTGTGTATCTGACTTGAGTCTCTCCTCCCCTGTGATTTAATTCAAGGCCATTTTACCTGTTCAGGTTCTTAGCCTGACGAGGCTGGGAGTTTTATAGACAAATCCCCCGCCTGGGAGTCAGAGCTCTGGATTCCTGTCTCAGCACAAGAATTCTAAATGCAAAGAATACATATGAAGAATGTGTGTAGAACAGCCACACACCTACTCTGTGCCGAGTGCTCATTCATGGGGTGTTCTGCGTGTGCTGTGTGCCAGAGTGTCTGGCCCAGGGAAGGCAGAGTGGGGAGGTGATGGGCATAAAGACACAGATCTGTTCTGGCCTGGAGGCTGCTGCCCTCAGGGGGACTGCAGACTGGTTGAGGAGCCCGGAGAACATTCTGGGGCGTTCAGAGAAGGCTTCTTGTAGAAAGTGGGGTAGAGCTGGCCCTTGGGAATGGGAAGGATTTCACCAAGGGAACATGAGATGCAAAGCCAGGGGTGTCAGTGGGACGGGACTCTCTCACCAGCCACTTGTCTTCATGGGTGTCACCACTTGTGGCATCTTAGCCCGGTTTCTTGAGCAGGTGCCCTCCATGCAGGTCATTGCATTTTTCTGCTTCTTGGTGTCCCTCCTTGCCCCTGCCACCATCCACCCCCTGCGTGGAAGGTCCCTTGCTGACATCCTCATGTTGTTTGATCTCTCTCCCTAGGGCTTTGTGGTGGCTGTGCTCTACTGTTTTCTGAATGGAGAGGTAAGACCCTGGCCCTCTGGTTTCTTAGTGATGGAGGTGGGGCTTGGTGGGGAGCAGACAGGGGCTCGGCCTGCTGGCCACTCAGGACTTATTCCCCAGACCGGGGCCTTGCCAGGCTCCCAGCACCTCCAGGAGGGGGATGGCAGTGGTGCCGGGGTCTCTTGACGGTCTCCACTGCCAGAATCTCTCTCACTTTGCCTGCTGTGCAGCTGAGGCTCAGCCTCTGGAGCAGAGCTCCATCCATGCAGGCATCAGCTGCTGAGCACAGACCCGCCTGGGAGGGCTCTCACTGTAGGACACACCTTAGTGAAGAAGAACAGAAAGTGAGGAAGGGCAGGGCACAGGGAGTGGAACCTGCAGATCATGAGGCTGTGATGGGCAGGTGTGCTGAGTAGGGAGCTGCCCAAGTTCAGCACTGCCCTAGCAGTCCAGCCTGTAGGGTAGGGACTGTGGGGACCTGGGAGAGACCCTGGGGAGAGGCCTGGAACCTTCTAGTAATGCTCCGTTTCCAGAGCCATGGTCTTGGATCCTCCTGCTCTAGCCTGTTAGGGTGATACTTTTGAGCAGAGCCCAGAACAGAGGCCCTGAGAAAAGGGTGGGGGCTGGGTGGATAGATGGGTTTAGAGAGTGGGCAGGGGTCCTCATGCTAGTGCTTGGCTCTTGGCTGCAAGAAACAAGAAGAGTGGGCTCAGTGATCGCCCTGACAACCTGTAGAGGGTCAGATAAGGACAGATAAGGAGAGGCAGACGGGGCCCTGCAGGGAGTGGCTGGGAGAGACAAGAAATGGGAGTAATGGAGCTTGTCAAGGACCTACGGTGGAAGTGGGAGCTAGAACTGGAGGGGGTGGGTGCTGGTACTGCTGCCATTTATGCAGTTTGTGCACTGCCCAAAGGGGCTGGCCTGAGGGGCCATATGGAGGCTGAAACTGGGCATGCTCTGCACACACCATGCTAAAAGCAACATGGGGGTGTGTTCACCCAGAGCAGTGCCTTACTTAGTGGATCTCAATCCTGACGGCACATTGAAATCTTGGGGAAGCTTTAAAATATATGGACGCCTTACCCCAGAGATTCTGATGTAGTTGTTCTGGATTTTTTTTCTATCATTTTTTCCAAATTATTTATTTATTTATTTTTTTATTGCGATAAAATATACATAACATAAAATTTGCCATTTGAACCACTTTTATGCATACAGTGCAGTGGCCTTAAGTACATTCACATTGTTGTGCAACCATCACCACTATACATCACTAAAACTTTTTGTCATCCTGAACTAAAACTCTGTGCCCATTAAAGAATCACTCCCCGTTCTCCCTTCCCCCAGCCCCTGGGAACCACTGTTCTGTATTATGTCCTTATAAATTTGAATACTCTAGATACCGCATATAAGTAGAATCATGCAAAATCTGGACTTTAGTATCTGGCTTATTTCACTTAGCATAATGTCTTCAAGGTTCATCCACGTTGTAGCACGTATCAGAATTCCATTCCTTTTTAAGGCTGAAGAATATTCCATTATATATATACACCACGTTTTGTTTTTCCATTCATCAATTTTTTTTAATTGAGGTCCCATTGGTTTATGACATTAAATAAATTTCAAGTGTACATCATATTTCAGCTTCTGTATAGAATGCATCATGTTCACCACCAAAAGTCTGGTTGCCATCTGTCACCATATATGTGTCCCTTTCCCCCTCCCCCCGGGCATCTGGATTTTTAAAGCTCTCCAGGTGATTCTAATGTGTAGCCACTGTTGCTAGTCAGTGAGAGTGGGGATCCTTGCCCTGATCTGTCTTCCTGGGAGCCTGCTTTTTCAAGATTCCCTGAAAGACCCTCTGGGCTGGTCTCTGATGGTAGAGCACCAAGGGCCGGGACAGAGGCTCACAGACGACAAGAAGCCATTAGAGGGCCTTGCTCAGATAGTGACTTGGGAAAAGGGCCAAGCTCAGCCCCTCAGAGGCATGCCTTTCCCATTGATGACCTCCAGGGCTGCAAGCTGAAATTTGGGAGTCAGTGAGGTGATGCTGGAGGTGGTAGTGCCACCCTGGGAAGGGCCCCAGGAGAGGGCAGGTGGGTGGATGAGGTCGGAGAGGAGAGGATGTCTGTCCAGAGTAACGGCCCAAGTTGCTCCCCGCAGGTGCAGGCGGAGATCAAGCGGAAGTGGCGGAGCTGGAAGGTGAACCGCTACTTCACCATGGACTTCAAGCACCGACACCCATCCCTGGCCAGCAGTGGGGTGAACGGGGGCACCCAGCTCTCCATCCTGAGCAAGAGCAGCTCCCAGATCCGCATGTCCAGCCTCCCAGCTGACAACCTGGCCACCTGAGCCCCCCTCCTGCTCCTCTCCTCCATACACAGGTTGGGGCTGCAGGCGGGCACCAGCCCACGCATGCTGTGCCTTTTCTCTCCCTTTGGGCAGGCCCTGGGCTGGCAGCTGGGCTCCCCGAGGGGGGAGAAGGGTGCAGGGTGCTGGTCCCACCCACCGTGGGCCCCTGGGCCCTGACCCCAGACGTGTAAATACTCCTCAAATTTGGAAAAGTGATCCCATCTCTACCCTTTGCCCAGTGTCCCTGCTCACCTGGTGCAGGTCCCCAGCTCTACCCAGCCCTGTCTCCACCAGCCTCAGAGATTGCCTGACCCTGTGTGTGAGGCCTTGTGAGCTGAGGCTGATCACCTTGCTTTGGGGGGTTTGGGGTGGCGCCTGCCTGACAGCCCCCTGCAGTGTCTGACTCTCCATGTGGACTCCTTGAGTCTGCTTGCCACCCTGGGGCCCTTCTCAGGCCCGGCCCAGTCCCTGAGGCCTGCCAGAGGTCCAGCTTGGATGGCCATTGTCCTTCAGTGCAGGCCAGACCTGAGGCTCCCTCATGCTCCCTCAACATCTTGGTGTCCAGGTGCCCAGCTTCTGGGTGTCAGGGCGCTGGGACAGCTCTGGGGCTCTTCCAGTCAGAGACTTCAGTTTGAGTGTGGGGCTATGGGTCAGGGAAAGTTCTGGTGCTTTTTATTTGGCCCAAGAAAAATGACTAACAGCCAGAAACGTGAATGCGGTTGGAAAGGAGATGGGAAGAGTTTGGGAGGTCCCGTGCAAGAAGACCCTCACCATCCCAATCATTTTACCCCTCACTCAAGGTGGGTGGGGTTCATATGGGAGCCTTTCTTCTGCCTCTCCGACCCTCAGGCATCAGCTGCAGAAGGTGAGAGATGGATGCCCCAGAGAAACTGCTCCCCAACCATGCGTACCACATGGAGCCCCTAACCCTCCTCCTCCCCATTGCCCTTAAGTCAAAGCCATGACTCAGATGAACCAGCCACCTTCCTGTGATGTCAGTGAATGCTGAACCACCTTAAACCTCCATGTGCCCAAGTCCAGGGCCCAGGGCTCGCCCTCACCCCCGATCCCCATGGACGATGAGGAGCCCCAGCCACCAGCTCGTGAAATCTCTTGAAGACCTCTGCAAAGACTTCCCTCTGTGTGCTCTTGACATTGAATCACCATGGATGCTAGGGTGTCCTGGGGTGTTGGGAGAGGAAGCCGTGCCCACCATGCCCGTTAGCAGAAGCCGCTGATGGGAGCAGTGACTGCACCCCACACCTATCCTGGCTCCACAGCGCAAGTTGCAGGACCACAAACTCAGAATTTAAAATGGGGCAGAGCCAGGTTAGGGAAAGGTGGAGAGAAGTGCTAGAGTGCCATGGCCCATGTGTGGGGCCCACTTCATTCCCTGTCAGCTTTCAGTGTTCCTGTCCAAGTGTTTTTGTAGACTCGTCTCATGATCATGTTCTGGAATTCCTGGGGAGTTTGGGTCAAGGGGTAGTGTTGCTTTGCTTGGTTTTATGAAGAGGAAGGGCCTGGGGCGTTTGGGGGAACTGTTTCTGGAGAGGCCTTCCAAGTGGCCGGAGAAGGGCTTAGTTGCTTGGTTCAGAGCCCTGTGTCCTTGGCCACTGAAGCACTGTGGATCTTGGGTCTTTGGCAAAGCCAGAGGGAGGAAGGGAGCTCTTCCCCAGGGGTGTTTGGTGACTCAGGCTGGCCATGGCCCTTCCATCCTGCACCTGGCCTTGTGATACCCCTTGTCCTGTTTGGGAGCCATGGGTTACCAATGTGCTGGGCAACTTGCATTTTGGACACCGCTGGGGAGCCTGAGTGGCTTGGAAGGAACCATGGGCTGGGATTCAGAAATGTGGAATCTGCCTTGTCAGGCTCAGACTGCTGACACTGTGTACACAGTGCTCCCTGTTCTGGGCCTCAGTTTCCCCATTCGTGAGATGAGGCGACTTGTAATGCTTCTGTAGGCTCACTCCTTCAGTAATTCTCCAGTTCAAGATGAAGGCAGGGAACAGGACATGCATTCTTGTTATGTGGACCATATAAGGTTTGGAAGTGCATATGTTTGTGCATGTGAGGAGGGAGGGGGAATGCTGTTTATTTTCCCTTTCTTAGAAATGGGACTTCTGTCTCTTCCATTTGGACACCATGGTGGAAGCTGCTGGGCTGGAGGGAAGGATCAGGCTGGGGACAATTGGACAGGTGCCTTGGACATGAGGTGCAGAGCCAGCCATGTCTCTAGCCAGGACAGGGTGCCATGACTGGGTGGGCAGTGGCCACGCCCAGATCCTAGGAACTGTCCCGAGTGCTGTGGGCCCCGCTTCCTCATTCTCGACCCCACCAGCAGGTCTGCTTCACTGTGAAGAAGAGGCTTTGACTTTATACATACATCATCACAAAACAGCAAAAACAAAACCATCCCCCAGCTCCGTGTGCTATGCTGCCGCCTGAGCCCTGGATCCGCTGCCTCATAGAGCTTCCAGGTTCCTGGCGGTTTGTGGGTTTGTTTTTCTCTCTGAACAGATTATTGGCAGTCTTGTGAGCAGATGTATCCGATGTGTTCTGAAGGTCCCAGGAGGTTAGGCAGCTGGCCTTCAGGGCCACAGGCAGTGGAGAGATAGCAGGAGGTCTGGGCAGAACCCTTCCATCGCTGACCCTTTGTTTTCAAATCTGTAAAATGGGCAGTAAGACTAGGTGAATTGTATAGCCCATAGCATCTCTGGACTTCTCTGTCTAAACACCAGCCATCTACTGGGAATGGGCCTCGGGCAAGGATCGTGGGATTTGGAGCAGGAAAGGATAAATCGTGTCGCGTGAGGAGGGCTCGAGGGCCTTGGGAGTGGTTAGGCTGGAGAGGAGCAGAGCTGTCCGACTCCATGTCTGTAGGAGATCGCTACCAGGAAGGGGGTTATTCTTGTTCTATGCAATCCTAAAGGACTGAACTCGCCCGGGGGAGGCTGAGTGCTCCTTGGGATGAAGAAATCTCTCATCCTCTGTCACGACTGTCCCACTATGGAACAGGCAGTGTCAAGATAGAGTCTCCAGCCCTGGGGGAAATGGGACTCAGTGATGCTGAGGCTGTCAGGGAGCCTGTGAGGGGTCAGAGATTGGGATTCAGGCTTTCAGTGGCTTTCTGGTTGTACCCAGCACTACGGGCGTCATGGCTCTCCATCATGCCTGAGGCCAGGCCACATTCTCTGTCTCAGTGGGCAGCTCTGTGACCCTCCTTGACACCTGCGCTGGTCTGCAGTGATTCCTTCTCTAACCCGCACCCCTCCCCAAACCGGCTTCTCTGGGGAATGGGGCCAGGGAGCTGGAGCCGGGACCAAGGCTTGAGTCCATCATCACCCACTGAGGGCACTGGCTCACCTCATTCATCTGACCGTTTCCCTTCCTGGAAGGAAAGCTGGAAGAGGCTCTCTTTGTAACTCTGAGTACCCTTGACCCCCTCAAGGCCACTCCAAAGTGAAAGCAGTGAGTGCTTTGTCATCATAAACTCCTACCTGAGCCCAGTGACCGTGGAACCCTGCTGGAGGACCCTGAGCAGGGACCGGGGGACCTGGGCTTCTCCCAGCTTTGCCGGATCTACTGCTTGGCCTTGACACCTTCCCCCTTTATATTTGGGAGACTCTCCAAGTCCTAGAGCTGGGAGGAGACTTGGAGAGCTCCCCATTGGGCTGATGAGAAAACACCCGGAGGTGGGCTTAGCTCGGCGCCTGCACCACGTTGGGATCCAGTGCGCTTTACAACATGAAAGAGGAAGTGGGCCCGCCACCATGTGCCCAGCCCTGCACGTGAGCCAGAAGGAGACCCTCGATCAAGCTTCCATACAGAGAACAGACAGCCTGCGTGGGAGAGGGCTCTGGCCACAGAAGTCATTAGGACTCCAGACTACAGAGGAGCAATGGAGTGAGTGTAGCCTGGGTGACCTGCGTTCTGGCCTGGGCTTCACCACCTGCTCTCTGCTCCAAGGTGGAGCCTCTCTGGGCCTCTGCTTCCTGATCTGAGAAGTGGGAGGACGTGATTTGTGGTCTGCCCCACAGGCCAGGGGTGAGGCTGAAGCGAGATGCCCTTTTGTGGGAAAGGGCTTTGGAAACTGCCCAGGTGTGGACTCGTTACTGGGGTGGAGGCCCCTGACAGGGACTCTGTGCTGTTTATCAACTGCTTTGAGCCTTCCTGGGTTAACCTTTGCCCCATTTGTAAAACCACCAGCACTGGGGGCGAGGGGGAGGCTAGGGGACTCTGATGGATGCAGAATTCCAGGCTTATCTCCGTCAGCTGATTTGTTCTTGTGGTTGGGATGGGGATACTTCCACATGGGTGATGTCTGTTTCCATGCCACCCCCATGGGAATCCTTCAAGGATCTGGGACATCCCTCAAGTGGGCCATGTGGCCATTCCTTCTCCTTTCCCTGACCTCGAGGTCCTGGGACATATCTGTGCTTGGCCGTGTGTGTCTTGTCTTATGTCTGTCTTCTGTAGCTTTGCGCCTGTGAGGGCTGGAGTGGGGGAGCCCCTGGCATCCCAGACATGGCGCCAGGCTCACTTGTGGGAGCCAGGTCCGCCTGGGTTTCATCTCCCACAATAAAGATAAGCCCCACAGACCTCACTGCTCCTGCTGCCCCATTAATGCTGTGCTCACAACCTTGTCCGGGGTTTCAAGGATGTCAAACTGCTGTAGATGACTCAATAAATGTCTTACCATTTTTCCTGGTGACTGTAACTTGGCGGAAACGGAGGGCAGGGAGGAGAGGAGGTGGAAGGGGAGGAAATCTGATCACCCAGAAGAATCCAGTCTACAAGATCCTGTGGCCTTTCAGATTCCAAGGGAGATGTTTGAGAATGGGCCTGAATGAGCTTAGAATGGACTTGGAAAAGGTAAGTCTTGGCCTCAGAAGGACTGGCAAGGATCATGCAACTTTGGTGGAATCAAGGTCATTTGGAGGTTTTGGGTTCCTAGGAATGGAAGCAACTCACCCCACAGTGTTTGATGCCTCATGACCTTCATATTCTTTTGTGAGTGTGGCCACCAGGTATCCCCAAAGCTTGCCTACAGTGAGCATTTCATCCCAGGTAACTACAGGTGCGTCACTGGCTGCCGGAGTCCCACCCCTAAGGCATCTGGATGTTCAGAGCCATCAGCCCCAGCCAGACCAGACAACCAATTCCTGGTACTCCCCATTTCCTTGAGGTTCTGTTGATTGTCACAACCTCCAGGTCCTATTTTCATATTACAGTTTTTAGTTGCTAACAACAGAAGATAGTTTGATTGATAAATCAGAAAAGGAGTTTAGGAAAAAGATATTGGGCAGCTCATAGAATTATTGTGAGGCTGAAGAAACCAGAAAAGGTGTCTCAGGCCATATCACGCCACAGAACTGATGAGGAAGCTTTTGCCTACTGCTGCTGCCAGCCCAGTGGTGTCTCTTCTGTGCCAGGGACCCAACCTCACAAGGACCATTTTGAAAGCAGTTGGCTTTGTTGCCATTCTTACAAGGAAATCAGGTCCCACATTCAGTTTCTTTCCTCAAGTTGCTCACTTCTGAATCAGTCTCACAAGAGTCCATTGGAATGGCTGTGTTCTAGCTGTAAGGGAGGCTGGAAACTTGACTTTTCTGGATTTGACCTTGGGGTCAGGCTCATAAGTCTGGAAATTTTCTAAACTTAACAGTAGGATTAAAAAGTCCTGAAATAATAAATTTCCACCACAGCAGACCTAAGATCTACAGCAGTTGCAGGCTGGCTCCCTTCAGTGATCAGGTGGGCCACTCTGAAGGAGTCAAGTCAATGAAAAGATGGCTACCAACCCAGTAGTGTGTGAACCCTACAGCAAGATAGGGCACTCACCAAATGCACCCAGCTGTTTGGGTGGGTGGGTGGGTGGGGGTGTTCCTCAGCTGGGAGGCTGGCTGGTTCTGCTTCCTGAGATTGGCCCTGCTCTTTCCTTTCCAGGTCCACCTCTTCTTTGAATCTTAAAGGAGATTACCAGGCTAGGTCATTTGACCCATTTAGCAGACATCTTGAGCTACTTTCTAAACTGGAACCTACCCTCAAAGGGTGAAAATTAAACTTCTGTGTCAGACTATCCTGGCTGCTCACACAGAAGACTTCCCTAGTGTTTAGAAAGTATTCTTACTGGTGTGACATGGTAAGTTGAGGTTCCATATTTTCACTCTCAGAGGTCACCTTCAAGAAGCAAAGATAAAGAGCCAAAGGTAAATTTGAAAGGGTTGAATTCCGTGTTAGACTTGAGTTTCTTGGCGACTGTGAAGAGCATCAAACTACTTTGTATGAGAACTTACAAATCCTGTTTCCTCTGTCTCTTCTCCCAAATCAGTCAACTATTCCAGCCCTCTTTTCTCTTAAAGAATGCCTTCACCCTGGTTCTTCCAGATGATGACCTTTGCCCTTGGTAATGTGAGCAGTTCCTCTTGGGTATCTAGTGGTTCTCAAGCTTTAGCATGCATCAGAACGACCTGAGGGGTTGTTAAAGCACAGATTGCTCGACCCACCCCCAGAATTTCTGATCCAGTAGGTCTGAGATAGGTCCTGATACTGTGCATTTCTAAAACATTGCCAGTGCTGCCTCTGCGGCTGCTGGTCTAGAGACAATGGGAACCACTGCTCTAGATCTTCTACTGAGGACACCTGCTGGGCATCACAGTCCCTTTTTGTGAAACTTGGGGCTGGACCAGTGATTCATTTCCCAGGAGGGGGAGGACACGCTCAGACAGCAGCAGCATGAACTTTAGTTGACTTTTCTTCCCCAGGCCACCGTCTTAGGGACAGAAAGCTGGAAGTTCTAAGAGGAAATCAGCCCATAGATATCCATTTAGTCTCAATCAGAGAAGGTATAAGACCATCTCTAAATCAGCTAGGGTCAAGTTCAGTGGGCTATAAAAGAAAAACCCCAATAAAAGGTGGCTTAAAGAAGTTAGAAGTTTATTCTTCTCACATTAAAGAGGTCCAGAGGTAGGCAGTCCAGAATTGGTATTGTGGCTTTTTGTTTTCTCTAAGAACTCAAGCTTCTCCCTTTCTGCTCCTCCATCCTTAGCATATGACTTCCAGTCTCAAGGTCACCTCCTGGTCCAAGATGACTCCTGGAGGTCTAGATGTCGCCAGACTCAAGGGAAAGTGAGAAAAGGCAAGAGATACCTCCTCCAGATTTAGTTATTTTCTTTTAAGCAGCATCACATCTGCTTACATCTCATTGGCCAATAGTTAATCATGAGGCCACACTTCACTGCAAGCAGGCGATGTTATGCACCCCTAATAAAATTGGAAGGAGTCAATAGATATGGGCTGGCAAACAGTAGTTTGTACCATAGTCTCAAACCCCCAAATATTTAGGGATTTTGAGCTCATCCACACCTGCAAAAAACCAGAGACTGAGTGATTCCACTGATGCCCTACTCTACTACATTGGGAACAAATTAGAATACACAGTCTCCAACCTGGACCACAGAATGACTCTGGAGGGTCCCCAGTCAGAATTGAGGGAACTGCTTATGCCCACCCATAGGAAACTACTCTGGTGTGAGGTGTGAGGACATGTCTGCATCAATTCTGGTTTCCTCCATCCTTTTTGCTCTCTCATGACTGCCTTTCCTGAGGAGATTCTGTTCGTTCATGGCTTCCACATTGTTTAATCTCTTTTTAACATGGGAGGTCATCAGAGTGATGTATTTATGTAGTTCACTTTATTTATTTATTTTTTTGTCTTTTAATTTCTGTCCGTTCAGCCCTCAAGTAAACTCAATTTAGGTACTTCTGAGCCTCCCAACTTTTTAGACTGCCCCCTGGTGGATGCCCATTGCAGCTGTCCCTCAGGTCTGAACATAGAGTTGGCTTTCCCCCGTCTTGGATGCAAGATTATGAATTCAACGTGTGAAACTGAGTCACCAAGAGCTCTTCTAACTTTTAGGATATGGTCTTGGAAATGCTCATGTAGAGATTGTTGTCCAGGCCTCTGAAATAATGGTTTCCTAAATTTCTATAAAGGGGACACTTAGGGGTGTCAATCTTTTTAGAAGGTGGATGGTATGTGACTTTCACTTATTTGTTCAACCAGTAGTTGTCAAGCATCTAACTTCATTTAACAAATATTCCTTAGTGCCTAGTATGTACCAGGAACTGTTCTGTCACTGGCGAGTATCACAGATAAGGCCCTTGCTCTCAGGATCTTATGTTCTAAGGAAGGAAAGAAAGAAATGAGGTGACTTCAGAAAGAGGAAAGTGTTATGAAGACAATAAAGCTGTTGATAAGTAGAGAATATTGGGAGTGGTGGGACAGGGGACTATTTCAGATAGGGCAGCCAGGGAAGGCCTGTCTAAGATGCAGACATCCAAGCGCCTGACAATTCTGCCCCTCCCGGCCTCGTGTGCCCATCTCCTGTGGATCCCTGTAAACACCTAGGGGAAGAGCATTCCATGTAGAGGGACCAGCAAGAGTAAATGCGCCGAGCTATGAAATAAACAAGCATGTTCAAGGAAGGGTTTACTGGTTTCTTGGGGCTCCCTAACAAATTGCCATAAACTGGGTGCCTTAAAACAACAGGAGTTAATTGTCTCACAGTTCTGGTGGCTAGAAGTCTGAAATTGAGCTGTCGACAGGGCCATGCTCTCTGGAGGCACTAGACGAGAATCTGTTCCATGCCTTTCTCTTAGCTTCTAGTATTCCGGCAATTCTTGGCATTCCTTGGCTTGTAGATGCATCATTCCTGTCTTTTCCTCAGTCACCACGTGGCTTTCTCCCTGTATGTCTGTCTGTGTCTCTGTGCCTTCTATTCTTCCTATAAGAACACCAGTCATGTTGGATTTAGGACCCACCATAATCCAGGATGACCTCATATTAATTACATCTGCAAAGACCTTATTTCCAAATGGACAGGTACCTGGAATTAGGACTTCCACATGTCTTTGGGGGCACACAATTCAACACACATCAAAGGGCAAGAAAGTGTGAAGCTTCACTGGCTGAGCTGGCACATTGCTTTGACTTAGATTATTTGGAGGAGGTGAGGGTGTTGATGGAAACGTGGGGCGAGAGAGGCTTACAGCCTCCTCTCAACCGCAGTCACCTCTCAGCACCACCAATGCATTTCAGCAAAAAACATGTATCAGCTCTGACCCACCCTGGCCTTTTTGAGCATTTTTTGTGCTTTTCATGGAAATGGACTGACTCCTAGATCACAACTCCCACAGCAGCATCCAAATCCTTAGGGGGCCCGGCCTCAGACAGTCAAACTGGAGGAAATTCATTCGAGTGGGCCAGACACTTACCTCCTCTCACTATCCAAACAACCCCAACTTTTAAAGAAACCGAGTGCTTATTTCAAGGCACAAGCAAAAGCAAACCAAAACAACATTCTGATAGTCAGCCACACTTGCTCGTGGATGCCAGGAGACTTGTATGAAACCATCATTCACATCTATTCCAACTCATATAGACTCTCACATGGAGTTTGGAAGTGAAGTCTCTGGGTTGGTCAGCTTATCCTCCATCAACTCAGTGGGAAAAGTCTTTGTTCTGGCACTTAGGGGTCTCCCTCAGGTCACCTGTCTCAGTCATTCTTCCCTCTCTTCCCCTTCCAGACAGCCCCTACCTCAGCCTATTCTACTCTTGCTACCTCCCCTCTTCACCCCATGTCCCTCCTGTCTGCCCTTGATCTAGACTCAGGCATGGCTTGGTGGTCAATGTTTTCCTTGAA